TAGAAGACATGCCAGACTTGCTGAGCACACGCTGTGGGAATGACCTGGGCATGTCAAAGCATTCCTAACGTGATGGGCTGTCCTACAGAGGCAGAAGGCAAGCAGCCTTCCTGTGCTCTCTCCATTTGGAGAGAGGCTTTTGGCAGTGGCAGAGCTGGTTTAGAAGAGGTAGGAAGCAAACTGCAGTCATCCAGCCTGTGCCGAGGTGCTGCAGATCAGCACTATACCATAAACCAATTGCAAACATCTTGGCTTCTTTAACCAGTGTGATGCTCTGAAGTGATGCTAGATCTCATCCAGAAGGTCCTGTTAGCTGGAGATTAACATGCCCCTCTTCCAAGATGAGGATAGAATGCTTTTGCAGCTGCAGAGCTGTCCGGAAAGGGGGTGCATGAGGCTGTTTGCTAGGGGCCACCTGTTTTGGAAGGTCAGAGTTGATGCATTGCAATATGCTTTAGTGATGCTGAGCTGCAGGTGCTGATTTTTCCCAGGACTCTGTGGAATCTGGGCTGGTTTGGGTACCTCTCAACAGTCCTTTGAACTGTCAGGTCAGTGAATAAAAGGATGGGGTTATGTGTGTTACAGAACTTGGGTAGGAAGGCCCCCAACGCTGAGTGACTCTCTAAAATACGGTCTGGTTAGAAAATGAAAAGAACCCAAATTTAATTTGAGAACTGAGTGATAACAACTATCTTCAGAGTTCAGCCTGGAAGCTTTGAAGAGAACTGGATGCTTTGTTTTTAAAAGAAATTGTAATGTGGATAATAAACTTTGCCTGTTTTTTTTATTGTTGAACTAACATCAAATACCTCTTCCTCCTCTGAGGAAGGAGCTTAGGGGGAGGGAAAATCCTTGGTCCTAAAGCAGCAAGTACATCACATCAAACATGACTATGTTAAATACTAAAATGTTCAAAGTACAACTGAGATAGATAAAGGCTTTGATGGGAAGTGGATATTTCCCAGGGACATTACAAGCAATAATCCAGATGTTATGGTGTAATGCAATGAGTGTCCATGGATAGATGGGGAGCTCAAGCCAAGCAGCGCCTGCTGTAGGCCTTAGCCTTCCACTCCCATGCTGTTACGCCATATGGAAGCAATCTCCAGGCCCCCTTAATAGCCAGCTTTGGATTCCATTTTCACAGGGCTCATAGAGCTAAGTGGAGCTGTTTTATGGACAAGTTAGATAGAAGCCTTTCCAAGATAAACATCCAATTCGAAATTAGGACATACCAAGCTGCAAAATTATTTTAGGGCATATTTCATGGAAGCACTGCCATTTTTCTAAGGCGATTGCCAGACTGTAGAATGCCCTTTGATCCCTTGTGGACATTACTCCCTTCTTTATAAAAAGGATTTTGAAATAGTTGCAGTGTTTAGGGAGGAATATATCTGCTGGGACTTTGAAGTATGTCCATGGGAACAGTCATGCTTTAGCTTTTTGGCCTAAAAGACGAACTTTAAGAAAAAAAATATATAAAAAAGAAATTACATTGCAGCTGGATTTATGAATCAAAATCTCGTTTTCTTTTTAAAGGTAGGAATTTTTAACCAGTGTGCCAGGAAAGCCAAACGGGGTGTTTAAATAGAAGTATATTAATATGCTTGTGGGATTCAGAGTTGGGTATTTTAACCAGTAAAAAGCAAGTGAAAAAATTTGTGAGTTCACCACCCATGATTTAAGAATTTTGTTGCTGGGTAATTGATCCATAAAAAGTAATCTTCAGACATCAGGTGCTTTTGCAATCCTTTTATTTAGCAACAACATTTCTTACTTGCTTTTAAAGCTAACACGTCCTGTTTTAAAGTGACTTGTGAAATCTTCTCCTCCGTCTTGCTCCCACCTGTATATGACATGATTGAAGCTCCCAAGTGTGGCGAGTTAAAAGTTGCTTCATGAGAATAAAATATGGCAGGGTTTTTACTGCGAGAAGAAAAGCGTAGCCTTGAGTTTTAATGCTTCCAGCTCACTCCCCCCAAATAAAGGCCTATTTAATCATCCTTTGTCCAATAAAATACCGCCAGTTAGCAAACTGTTAGCGCAGCCATGCCATGTAGGATGAAGCTGTGAAGGTAACAAATGTGGCTACCAGGTAACCATAACTCCAGATAAAGAGCCTGGTGGTTTTTTCAGCAGGCATCAGTGTGTTTGATTCGTGAGCTCTGTTTCTGGAAGCAGGCGCTGCAAAGCAGGCGAAGAGCTAATGGGGATGGCAGCGGTTGCGTGATTGAGGAGGTGGAAGACGCGTGTTCAGCCTTTCACCTGGCCATAGGCTTTATGACTGCGGGCTGTCTCCTCGGAAAGAACAGACCTGTGTTTTATGGATGTAGATGGAGACATTTAAGAGTTTACTTTAGTTTCTCCCCTCTTCTACTTCTCCTCCCCATCACTCTCCTGTGTCTTTCCCTGAGCCAAGCTAACAGATTGCTCTCAATGCTTGAGGTCTGCTCTTGCCAAAGCTCAGCCAGGTTAGCTGAAGTTGACTTCTCCTGAGGTTTAAGCTAACCCTGCTGATTTTACTCTAATGCTTAGTACTGTCCCTTCAAGAGGCCAGCCGTAGTGCTGTACAGGAATCTATAGCATCCGATTGCTCTCCATATTCTTAGGGGTACCTAGGAGTACCTCTCTCACTTCTGGTACTTTCGTATCACAGTTTGAGCATAAAAACATGGGTTTTGTTTGAGTATATGAATGTTTCATATTGCTGACTTGCTTTCCAGTCTAGTTTCATGAGGAGCATGCGGCTCTCCGACTCTTTGCGCAAGAACCAGTTGTGGAATGGACTGGTCACCATCACGCTCCTGGAGGGGAAGAACATCCCCGGAGGGGGCTTGGCAGAGATTTTTATTCTCCTCAAACTAGGAGATCAAAGATACAAAAGTAAGGTAAGTATTAAGGATTTCCTTTTGTTTGCTGAAGGCAATAGGGTGTTGCTTTTACCGGTGTGGCCACCTCAGATGGAACTATTCTTGAATCTCTTTTATATAAGTGAGATAAAAACCAGAAGACCAGATCAGGGACATTAACATTTTACTAATATGTTTTACATGCCAGTGTTGAAATAAGACAGTAGGAATATTTTGTGTATCTGGTTTTGTGCATTTAATGCACTCATCATATTGATGGATGCTTGCCATTAATATGAAATGAAATAAAGCTATGTGCATCACACATGTTTTGTTCTCTGCCAATACAGAAGTTAGGTTTGCAATGTTAGGTATGCTGGAAAAGCAGACCTGAAATGGTTCCCAGTGCAGGGGAATTATTACTATTATTACTATTATTATGTTAATTTTAAAACACCTTTCTTGAATAATGTTATAAATAGCAGAATCCACACCCTTCCCCCAAACACACTGAATATTCCATGGTTTTGATTTTCATTTTTATTCTTCTAGGCTATATTTACTTGTATCCAGTACCATTTCATGGGAATCTAAGAAATGAATGGGGTTCCCAAAGATACATATTGCATCTCCCAAGTCTAATAAAGAGAGAGGCTATAATTAAAATAATACTCTGTTGAGAAAGCATGAGCTCTGCATGTCATGAACTGGAAGTGTGGAGGGAGGAGGCGGCGGAGAAAACAAACCCCTTCCTGTACAAACTGTACAGAACAAGTTCACAGAACATAACCATCCGATGTAGGCTCATCTGAAACCTGCACTCTGTCTCCTACATTGGACCTCAAACCAAGGTCATGATAGAATGCTTTTATTTAGAAAAGCAGCTTTGAGAAATAGCAAATGGGTTAGTTATTTTAGAATAAATATACGTTATTCCAGTTAAGATCCCTTTTTATGCTTCTCTTTAATGGTCCATAGCCAGTGCCATGAATCTGAAGACTGCACTGTTTGCAGTCACAGAAAATTAAGAAGGGGGGTCAAGTACGATGTTGCCTTCAGTGAGTTAATTGCTTAGTATTTCTGTCTGGGGTCCAGCAAAAGTTGGGGACTGCTGATTTTACACCCTAATAACTCTTCAGATTGGCAGTACTTCACATCCTTTCCTGGAGTTTATTCAACTTACGAAGTACAATCTCTCGTGGTCCAGAAAAGCAAACAAGATGTGAGAAATCTCAGCCATGGTCCAGCTAATCCTATCTCCTCTCAGTGGTCATTCTGATATCGATGGTGGGTGGTGTAGTATGGTATGAATTGCAAGTGATTTAAGTCCCAATCCAACGAATGAATACTCAGAGTAGCCTGAACACATGAACAATCTTGCTGAACTTGGAGGGACAATTTGCAGATCTCACAGTAACCGGATGTTGATAATTTCAAGGCTCCTCCTTCTTTGCCTATATCTTAATGTTGAAGGGTAAAAAATACCAGTTTAGGTTCCTTAATTCATGCAAACCTGTTTTCAGGTGATTGTCCTCACAAGGTTTATTCTTGATTTCTTCCAGTGTGTGATGTTGAATAACCCCCACAGTCCACTGAAAGTGAAGCTGGTGGATCCACCTTGCATTTCAGCATTTCTCCAGCCATTGATTCATGTCGCACTTACATATTTATCATTATTGGGAGAGAAGAAAGAGAGTTTTTAAGGAAGATGAGGGCTGTGCATGATGGACTGGGGAGCTTTGATTCGAATGACCTTAGTATTTGATGCTCTAATATCCAGCCTTGATCTTGTGGAATTGATATGTGCTTTACTGTGGAAATAAGTACCATTTAAGAAAAGTAAATATTATAACTGCATGTTTTCTAGACACTGTGTAAGAGTGCAAATCCTCAGTGGAGGGAACAGTTTGATTTTCACTACTTCTCTGACAGGAAGGATATGTTGGACATTGAGGTGTGGAGAAAGGATAACAAAAAGCATGAGGAGCTTTTGGGAAGGTAAGATGTTTGGTGGGTTTTTTTTTTGTGTTTTTATGTTGGTTTTTGTTTTGTTTTTATTTTTTAAGGGGGGGTAAGTGCCAAAGATAACATAGGTTTTATTATTATCATTAAAATAAATTGATCAATTAAAAAAAATAACATTTTATGTTTCTTTCCTTATTTCAGTCACATCCAGATGCATCTGCAAGGGTATATTTATTAAAATGTATTAATGGGTAATTGATAAGCCACAACCTGAATGCAGAGACATCCAAGCTGACTCTGCACATGCTGGCTGTAAACTCCCAAATCCCATGGGAGCTCAGTGGCAACTGTTCCCAGGAGAGCTGGCAGCAGTGCAGAGGCTATATCTGTGTTGCAGGCTGATACTGCTCCATATCCCACTGTGCTCTGCAGTGCTGATTTGAGGCTTCAGGCCGGTGGCAGCTCAGGGATCTTTGTGCTCATTTTGAGAGTGGCACTTGTGCACCTTTCTTCTGTTTGCACTTGGATGGTGTGTTCTTCTAACCATGTTTACGTATGGGTCCTGTTACTTGGGCTTGTTCATTCAGTTTAATCTCTTTTTCACCGCCACAGAGGACTGATCTCCGTGGGTTTGGTGCCCCATGCTGTTGCACAAGCTCATGTTTCAGACATTGTTTTTGGGAGCAGCCTCAGTTGATTTGCCCATCTCCTGACTGATTTAGTCCTGCTGTATTATTCCGCTATAGCTTCAAATTCTCAAGTAATGATCTTATGCCACGTTAGCAAATGAGGCTTTTTTGGGGGGTAGCAATCAACCTTTTATTTTTAAATTTTAATTGAATACAATATGATTCATACTCTTACATGCCCTGGTCTTTCTCTTCTACTCTAACTCTATCTTACTTTGTATGGAATTAGTACAGTCTTGGTTTCTTAATAGTGACTCTATATTCTTTCGGCTTGCAGCATTGCCATCTAGAACCGTCTCCCTAGACTGTATCTGCACAGTTGGCTACATGCAACAGCTCCAAGAACTATTTAATTTACTGGAGTGTCTCTCGGGTCTGCCTGTGCTTACCTGCTTGCAGGATCAGTGCCACAGCCTCTAAATTCTTGGGGGCAGGGATCCTGTTTAAAGTTGTTTGCTGTTCTCACCTGGTGAGAGTTTCACAACTTGTAGACTAAATAACAGTAACTCATAAGAACATTCTTTTACTTTAAGCATTCAAATAGTTTGAAACTATTCACTGAAAAGAACAATGCCCTTTGGCTCTACAAATGTTTGTGGTTTTGCAGAGCAGGAAATGCTTTCTGGCTGAATGCTGCTGCTCATCACATGGAGAAGTGGCTCAAGATGAATCTGTTCCTTCCACTCTCATAGTTACTTTTGTTACTTCTGATATTCTTTTTAGAGTTAAGAAATGTAGCAGTATTTGTGGCTTGCCTCTGTTCAGCCTCCCTGATGTTGGAACAATTCATCCTTAGTCTTTTTTCCTTCTTTTTATTTTTCCTACTGATTTCTGGCAGGTGGTGTTCAGTTTGGCAAAAAATTATCAGCAAAATGCTTATTTTATTATTAAAGATTTCAGCACTGGGAAAGCGTGTGTTAGGTTTACCCTAAAGTTATTTTTGCTATCTCTGTGGAGAGAAAAATATTGCTGCTGTTGCATTAAGTGCAGCAAAGTGTAGCATTGAAGCAGGAAGAAATGATACTACACTTTAAAGAATAGGTAAACACCAAATGCATAACAACAAGTCTTGTTTTTACAGTGTAGAAGCTTTTGACACCCCATAAATGATATTTTATGAAGGGTTCAAATGTAGTCTAATCTGGAAAAGGATTCTGGAGGAAAACCAGCATTATGAGGTGGCATGTTTATTGTCTCCATGACTTCCAAGATGAGTTTTGAGAGTTCTGGATTTCACAACATCATAGTAAAAAAGACTCTTCAGTAAAATATTTGTGGGTTATATTCAGTCATTACACATAGCAGTAGGCCCCAACTACCCTCAAATAATTCTCATGGTTTTAAGGACAAGGCAAATTTTGCCGGATCTTAGTAATTCTGTGGTCAATTTGTGGGTACAATTAGAATTCATTATGCTCTCCTTAAGGCTGTATTGGTTAAACTGCATTAGTTGGACCTTTAAATATATATTCTAAACATTTAAATGAAGTTGAGATGTGCAAGGAGGAGTCATGTCTGATGATCCAGACTGCTGAACTTCTGTGGAATAAAGATTTCTCTGAATTCCTTTAGACCCAGCATTTCATGTAGGATGGATGCCTTAAGCCCCTGGAACATGGCTCTTTTCCCAGGCGTAATTTGGTTTCAAGGTAAAATATTGTTCTTGAAATAGGACCTGAAGTGTCTGTGGAGACCATGGAACACGTAGAATAAGAAATGTGTTGGACCTCTGCTACTAAACACTAACACCTGGGGCATTCACTTCTGAATTAGTGAGGAAACATTCGGTGGGATTTCATGTCACCCTTCTCCTATCACAAAATGAACTCTCGCTGTCAGTGCACATCACAAGCTGAATTATTACGTTCAGCCTACCTGCATTCTCCTCAGATTTTCCAGCTGGGTGCAACTTCTTTTCCTTGCTTAAAATACTGCAGCCTTGAGTGGTTCAGCTGCCAGGGTCTGACACTGAGGAGTGGCTGGTTTGGTGCTGGGTGAAAAAATCCCTCTATTTAGTCTGCACAGAACTGTAGGTAACATTTATTGAGTGCTTTTTGTGTCCTCTGGGATAAGAGGTATGCTATAAACAGGTAATGATGTTAATTTCTAATAAGAAACAAAGGTGTTAACTCCAGAATTTGTCCAGGCAGAGTTAAATTGTTTATGCCAGGTTGTTAGAGAGGGTTTCTGCATTAAGAGATACGGTTTGAAAAAGAGATGCTGCAGAATGTTAGAGATTTTTTTCTTCATACGTTTACCTCAAGAAAGAGGTTTTATAAAAATTCCCGACTTAGGACTGTGAGATTGGAGTGCATCCAATATCTTTATGATGAATGCCTCCAGGAAACAGTGTCTTTGCGGCAAGAAACAATCCTTATTTTAAAGGCTGTTCTGTTAGGATGGAGCAGTAAAACCTGCTATGGCTGGGTCCAAACCTTTCCTTTAAATTTTACCAAGCCAGAGGAGGAATAAAATTACCAAAATTTATCTGTAGAATAAGTCAGAATAACACCTTATTAATTGTCTCCCTGGCACCTGTGGCATTTGAAAGTCCTTTTGAAATATTCGTCTAGATGCATCTTACTGTATATTGTGGCAATGATTCTGACCTCTTTCGTGAAGGGCTTTCGAGAACTCTGCACAGAAAAACATGGCAATGTTGTGTGCAGATGCTTTCATAGGTCTTGTATATATTTAAGGATACTTATTGTAATTTGGTGAACTGTAGATTGGGTAACAAAATACAACTCTGTGGCTACTATCAAGAGGCTGAGCTCTGTACCTTTAAATGAAATGTTAACACTCTGATAAAGTTGAACAAATAATTTAACCAGAAATTTACAGTGTAGTGTTCTCAAATAATATTTTTCTGCAAAATGAATAAAAAAGGGGGGGGGGGGGGAAGGTTTGGCAGCTAAACATGAGGGCTACAAGTCAAAAGAACAGTCTCAAATCAAAACTAAATCTGTGGTGCTATCCTCTACAGAACTAGAGGTTAATATAGAAGTATAGACCTCAATATTGATCAGGAGGAGGAAGGAACATTTGTGTGCACAATGCATTTTTAACTTACAGAACTGTATCCCCTATAGGTCATGCATGTAGCTATGGGTGTAAAAGTTTATATCTGAATATAATATGTAATGTAGCAAAAAATGGAATACCAGCCTGTATTCTGAGATGGGATTACTGTGCTGAGAATTTAACTCAGAACATCATTTGCATCCTCTAAAATACAAATAATCTGAGACTTTTGCTCTTCACATTCAGATTGGGCAACTTTTGAGCAAAAGTGGATTGCCTGCATTAGTTTTATACTGTGCCCATCACGATAGTCTCTTCCCGCTTTCCTATGAAATAATTATGTGTAATAAGGTCTTGCCAGCTAGAAAGCTGAGAAAGAAAGAAAGGAAGAGTTTCTGTTTCAGGAAGATAGGGAAAGTAGTTTGGAAATCATTAGACTCGTTTTAATAGTGCAGAAGCGTTTATGTGGTAACCACTGAATTTATATAGTAAATTGAATGTCTAATTGTTTTACCACGCTGCATTCCTTGCAGCCTGATCAATTATGTTGTATAACCTAAATGAAACAGATTGTCCTTTTTTTTTTTCCTTAAGCCCTTTGCCATTTGCAAGTGCAAATGTGGATTTTCTTTTCAGTTCCTCAAAAGAAAATACAGAGGCATACCATCACCTTGAGTGAACACAGATGTTTTAAGGAAGTCAGTTTCATGGAAATCAGACAGGATTTGAGGAAGAAATGCTTATATTCCACCTCCTGCTGTTTTCCCCTCCACATGTGCGTCCCTCCTACCCCCACACCCTTACACTCAATCTTTTCCTTGACCTTTGGCTAATAAAATTCTTCTAATAACAGAAAAAAATCCAATTTGCCCACACAAGCTAGAATTATATGTAACTTTGCCTTTGAGATATGTGAGATTTCAGAGGTTATCTACTGATGGGAGATGCACCATTGTCTGAACAAGTTGTCTTTTCTCTCTTACCCCATTGACAGTTCTTAACATAAGAAAGCAAACTCAGCTTTTCCCAGTCGTGGACTGTGTTGAGTGCGTGGTGGATGAAATGCTGATGTGGGAGATGCGGCTTCTATTGCCAGCTGAATCACAGACCAGCTGGGTGACCCTGAGTTTTCCCCTCTCCTTCCTTCAGTTTCTTTATCTGTAAAAGAAATAAAAATAAAACCCAAGGTAAACCATACGTCCCTCCTTTTGCACTGATACCTAAAGTATTAGTAAAACTACTGTGGTCTGAGAAGCAACTGTGTTAATGCAGCCAAGGTGGTGATGACCTCCAGAGTGGAAGTGATTAGGACTCTTTCTCAAATACTTGCCTTTTTTGTTGCTACTTTGTTTTCCTTTTTGCTGTAATTTCTCTTGTCATATCTTTCTGAAGAATCTAGGCGTAGCAGCAAGCTTTAAACGCAACCTCTCACACTTGGAAATCATGTTGAGAGGCAGCCTACACACCAAACAGTGTTAGTACTCTTCCTGGTTTATTTTCTTTCTCTTTCAAAGCACTTGAAAGCAGTTAATAAGAGTAAACTTGCAACCTGTTGTATGTTCAATGCCGTGAATAGCAAAAAGCACACTTAAGGCAAAGCCATCCCCATTGATTCCAGTCAGAAGAAGCTTACACAAAGGGCTGTTTTAATATACGAAGCTTCTGGATGCCTTAAAGACTCATCACAGCAATGACTTTTACTTCATAACATAGCTTCTTGGGTTTTCAGGCTGAAATGTTTTGGGTTTGTTGGTTTTTTTTTTCCCACCCCCTTTAGCATTCACAGAAAATAGGCTGTTAAGAAGCAGAAAGCATGCAATTTATAGCAGATGGGTATAAACTGCTCCAGCTCTACTACTGGAATGGGATCAATCAGGAACACTACATGCACCATTTACCCAGAAGAAACCCACCTGGGGGAACTCTGTGGAATTTTAGCCTATTAAGACAACACCTTAACAAGTTTAGTTTAAATAAAAACTTGTCGGCAGGCATTAAGCGGAGCAAAAGCTCTCACTCTCAATCATCCATTCGCCGTCCCTTTGAGAAACGCGGCTCCCCTTGCACCAGGGCAGCAAAGCTTCTCCTTCCTTATTTTTGGTTTTATTCCTTTCTCATCTGTAACTTTTGTTCAGTCTGTTCTTAAAAGCCAAACCCCATGGAGGTTCAGAAAAGTTCCACTCCATTTACTGGACTTCTAAATAGAAGGCATTTAGCCGAGCCAAGTGATTAGGCTTTCTGTTGCATTTAACCGCTCCCTTTGTGTATAACTGGTTGTCTAGTAATCTCTCTCTGCCTCAGCCCATGCTCATCTTTTATTGTTGTCTCTTTATTTATGTTTCTCTTTTTTTTCCTCTCATTTTTATTTTTAGGGGAAGTATCAGGTTAATGATACATATTATGTGCAGGTAGTTTGGGGGGGGACTTTTAAGACAGTCCTTCCCTTTGGGAAATATAACAGTACACTGAAAATGGGGCTCTTGTAAGGCTTGTAAAAGAGATTGGGGCATACAGTATAATGTAGCATAAAATGGAGTATGTGACTTTAAAGAAACTAATCCATTTTAGGCTAATGTTTTAAATTTTGCATTTGCCCCTTTTCTATTCCCCCAGGTGAAATCAAATTGTGTTTCAAATCCATGGCAAAACGCTTGGGGATTTTAGAGGGGAAGTGAGGCAGGCCAGAGTGAAGTTTTCCTACTGTACTTGCAGCCTAAACCTTTTACCTCTGCTTACCAGTAGGTGAACCAGAAAGCAGAACTTGACAGTATGTGCAACAGAAACTAGATAAGAGGTTTCTCGAGTTTAATTTTGAGATGCTTATTTTTTGCATTCTTTCCATCCTGAACAAGTACTGAGTTTTGGTGCCTGATTGCTGCTGAAATCAATACAAATGTTGCTTTCCCTCCACCCCCCCAGCAACTTTTTCTTATTAACCCTTGATGATGTTGTTCTAGATGCGAGGTTGACATTTCTGCCCTACCGATGAAGCAGACCAATTGCTTAGAGCTGCCTCTGGAAAAGCATCCGGGGTCTCTGCTGATGTTGATTGCTGTTACCCCGTGTACAGGAGTGTCTATCTCTGATCTGTGTGTCTGCCCTTTGGGAGATCCCAGTGAACGGCAACAGATTTCACAGCGCTATGTGAGTTTGCTTTTTTTTTTTTTCGCCTTTCTTTATTTCTCCTTTAGTTTTAAAAGTAGTCAAAATTGCAGGAAGAAGAAAAATTTGTCCAGTCATAATAACATGTTTCCTAGCAGAGAAAACTATTGCACAGAACAGTTACTCTGTTCAGAATGACAGGGAGATTGGTGGGGCAGATAGACCCAAGCAATTTGGCTGCTTGTATTTGAGTTTTAAACTAATACTTTTCTTTGCAAACTTGAATTGTATTAAGAGATTATCATGGGAGTGGGACACACTGGATAATATGGAGAGATGACAGCATACTCGGCTTTCTTTCTATCTTTGGGGAGGATAAGTTCTAGACTTTCAGCTCTTGGAAGACAAAGCTGTATGATGGTTTCCATGCCTCAAAGCTGGGCAAGAAGGAGTAAGTGTATCTCTCTGAAAAGGGGTGCAAGATTGAGGCATGATGACTTTGAACTACGTAAGTTAAAAGTTTAGAGGATAGATTCCTCACTCCTGATGGAGGCTGCTGCCTTCCTGACCCATGCTGCTTCTCTAGGTCTACCTGTGTCCCATTTTCTGGTTTAATTGGCCTATGATACTTGCATAAACATGCAGGACTCCTTCCAATCTCCACCATAAGCTTCACATGTAATTTACGTGAATGGAGAATGTCCTTAGCAGAGAGTAGCGTGTGATGTTGTGAACCTTGGGGTTGTGATGCTGAGACTGGAATAGTGGGCATGTATTTATGGGTGTATCAGCTGCTAGACTGAAACGCTGCAGAAACAGCAATGGATATTAAAATGTAAGTCATCTAGTATTTTAACAATCTCTGTTTTTTACTGACTTACAAACAAAATGTATCTTTATGCTTTCCTTCTTGCAGTGTATAAGGAATTCCTTTTGGAACATAAAGGACATTGGCTTCTTACAAGTCAAAGTTTTAAAAGCAGTGGACCTGTTGGCAGCAGATTTTGCAGGTATTTTTATTTTGCATCATATGTTGCTAAAATATATTGTGAGTGCTACTTAGAATGTGCAGTACTGTCAATTGATCAAAGAAAAGTCTTCCCATCATTTCTTCAGTGGTGAAACCTGCCTTGGGGAACTAAGATAAGAAGTGGTTTTCAATCTCAAAAGTATGTGGGAGGGCCCAGTGGATGAAGATCTGATTTCCCTTTAGATCTAAGTGGTGGGACTGGTAACACTTAGCATGGTGCACTGTTGTATTTTCCAGAAAATAAGAACTGATATAAAATGATGGTGCCTGCAAAGCAACCACCCCATCTTTTATCGGGTTCCTTGTGAGTTTGTGAGCAAGACTGAAAGATTTTGGGGGTGTCTGACACAGTGTTAAGTGTGTGGGTTTGGGTGGTGCTGCAGGCTGTCACCTGAAAAAGAAAGCTTGCTAGTGATGGGGATGCGAGTGAGATTACTCTTGCAGCTTGTTGGAGGCTTCAGTTCGGGATGATCTTCTTGGAGCTAGCTCTTATTCCAAGAAAAGGATAGATTTTTCAATGAACTGTACCTCAAACTGGTGTTTGGTCCTGACAGCAACTTTAAGAATACAACTTTATATTCTTTTTCCATGGAAGGCCTAGGGAATGGATACTTCTTTGTAGCAACTGCCTGGATATTCTTATTACCATCTTTTCCAGGAGCCTGGAGACCATTTCATTCTGTATCTTGCAGCAGCTTATAATTCACAGACATCATAGTATGTTGTGTGTTTGTGATATAGTAATTTTTAAAGGTAACTTGTTGATAAAGGCATGAAAGATCATAGAATCATAGAACAGTTAGGGTTGGAAAAGAACTTAAGATCATCTAGTTCCAAGCCCCTGCCATGAGCAGGGACACTACACACTAAACTATGTAGCCCAAGGCTCTGTCCAATCTGGCCTTGAACACTGCCAGGGTTGGAGCATTCACAATGGTTTGGATTGGAAGAGACCTTAAAGCTCACCTAGTTCCAAACCCTGTGCCATGGGCAGGGACACCTTCCACTGGACCACATTGCTCAAAGTCCTGTCCAACCTGTTGCTGAACACTTCCAGGGATGGGTTATCCACCAAGTCTATGTTTGTGCTTGGGATTGTCCTGAGGTTCTGTTTCCCCTTTTCCAGATGCTAGAGAGAAAACACTCTTGCCCCATACCCCAGTTTCCCTGAAGACATCATAACAAAAGAGAACATTACTTGTAAAATAAGGGCCAAAGGAGCAAACCCAAGATGAGTCATTATATTCATTTTCAATTCACTGCTTAACCCTGCATTGCAAAAAAAGATTACTGCAGAAAGCAGTGCATTAGAGAACTGAAGAACTTAATTTGAAATCAAACACAAACCCTTGCAATAATGAAAGATATCTTGTATAGAAATCCATTTCTAAATTGACATAATGTGTACATTTATATGGAATTAGGAGTGTAACTGCACCTTACTAAGGGATTTAATAAGTGTACCACAGCAAGGCAGAACCTTTGGCAAACGGCAAGGCTGGGGCTATCTAGAAGCACATAAGGTTTTAATACAGGCAGTGTCCAGGGAAAAAGAGCCTGGAAGGTTATTTACCCTTTGGAAAACTTCACTGATGCTAGTGCAGTTGCATCAGTGATTGATTTGGCCCCCTTTCCCTCAATCCTTAAACAGGAACATGTGGGTGGATAATGAACATTGGAAGAGACACGCAGGTTCTTGATTCTGCAATTCAAAAACTTTTCATACAGAGTATGTGACACACATTCCTTGTGCATAGCACAGAATGAAATTCTGCTTAAGTAAAAGGTTACTCAGTCTGTCATTATATTCAAAATAACCCAGGCTTTGAGCCTGATTCATGAAGCAAATGACAAATTGTTTTTCAATGGCAGTGCTGAAAATATCCTAGTATTATGCTGTAATAGACCCACCAAATTGCAAAAGGATGCAGCCATTTTAGGTAAAAATAGCATAATTTCTGATCGTGAAATGAGAGACATAAAGATTAATTATCTGTTCTGAGCCATTCATAAATGATTAGTGCAGCAATTATGGGCTTCCATAATAGAGCCCTCCTAGAGCAGTGCCATATTTCCTGCATTGCCAGGGAGACTGCTCAGATTTATTGTTATTGATAAAAGTAAATTCAAAGTCCAGCTAAAAATCTGATAAAGGGAATATCATAGAGGCACTAAGAGCTACAGAGATTTCCAGGAGTTAATAGAGGAGCAGTATGAGCAGGTACTTTTCCCTCCCTGTCCTGTCCCTCGACAGTCACAAGTCTTGTGTGGTTGAACTTCTGCAGACCAGTCATCTGACCACAAGTATAATTCCACCTTATACCTTTTTCTCATAGTAAAGATTGGATTTTGGTGTGATTGGGATTTCAGTTGTCATCATAATTTTGTTGGCATTATAGATTGTAATTACGGATTTTAATTTCAAGCTTTTACTTTACTATAATAATAGCTATCAGAAAACAATATGGTATCTGCTTTGGTTTTGAACAGTACTTCGAAAATCCGTATTTTACCATTTAACGTAGATTTTAGGCTGGTTTCCACACAACTATATCAAAAACATAGAAGTTCCTCAGCCACAGCGAGCTCAGATTGAGCCTTCCATACTTTCGTATTCCTAGATAATAGTTTTGTTGACGTGAAAATGACTTTTTCTGCTTTGTTGAATGTTTTCTGTGTACGCGTGAGAGTTCTCAAACACTGCATTTGCTCACTGACCAAAAAATAGCAGTCAGAGTACCAAATTATACAGCGGGATTGTTTTTGGCATATACCAGTTTGCATTTCAAGCAGTTTCTCTGAAAGGCTATATGCATTTTCCACACTTATCAGGGAAAAGGCACGTAAGCTGAAAAGAAGACAAGTAGATTCCAGTAATACACATGGTCTTTAAACTTTACCAATATTGACTAGTTAATACCCTGCTGTTTACATACTGAAAAAATTCCTGTTTAGTTTATAAACTTCTCAGTAATAACCTTAAGAGCTCTGTATTAATAATACCAAAAATAAGGATTAAGAAAAAGGCAGCTTTTTCTTAAATATCTTGTTTGTCTGCTATCTAAATCCCTGCATCGCTGACATATTTAGTTGCCTACGTAGAAGTCAGGCAGGAATGTCTGTGGCTGAGTTATACATGAACACTGAAGATGAGATTAAGTCAGATATTGAGTCAGACATGCTGATAAAGGGTATTCTGCTCATGATGGAAACTGCTGAGCTGCAGCAAGTTGTGAAAACTACAAATTCATGTGATGTGAGTTATCAGAAATAAAACATGTGTCTTTGCCATAATAGGTTCCATGACAACATCCTTATTTTGAGGAAGTTGGATTCTTTTTGGGTTTGGGGGTTTTCTTTGTTTGCTTGCTTTAAGCACAATAGCTGGTTCACACACGGATTCTCCAGCTGATGCTGGGTTTTCTTTAAACTGTGGCACTATGTAGAGTCTTCATAGCTACAAGGACTTGCTCACATGGAACTCGTTGAAGAAACTCTGCTGATACAGAAGGTGTTGTGCTTTTCTTCTTGTGGTGTGCATACTTAATCCTGTAACCAACTGAAGGTGACCACAGACTCTAAGCAGAGGATAACATAGAGAGCTGTAACTGCAGCACTGGTACTCATGTGGCTCAGGATGGTGGTACTGCTTTTATAATATCATCTGAGTAATTGCGAATGTGAGCAGATTTTTCTTACTATAAAGACTTCGAGATGATTCACTGTAAGTTTCAGATTTCAGGTATTAGAGTGAAGCCACCTGAATGAGTTACAGTGTTAAGAGATTCCAGAACTGAGGATACATCGGGATACTGTTTATTTAGCAAGTTATTCCATCAGAACAATGCAATTTACAGTTGTCCTAATAGATCTAATTTTATTTGACCAATCACTTCCTCAGCCTTCATGTAAAGAAGGAGTGTGAATACTAAAGACAATAATTGGTCCACTTAATTCTCTTTTTTCCTTTTAATTTTTGTTTTTTAATCTATCTGATCTTTCACGATCCTTTCTGTGTATTAGAGCTGGGAAATGACATGCTTCAAACACACACTGTTTACAAGAACCTCAATCCAGAGTGGAACAAAGTTTTCACATTGTAAGTGGATTGCTTTTGAAAACAAGCTGCAGCACCACACAGCAGCTTAACTATAAAACCTTAACTATTGACTTAGGGAAAATACAAAGGTCAAGTTTAAGATATGTCATTTTTTCATAGTCAGAGAGGATGTTGGAGAAATATCAACTATAACTCAATTAAAGCCTTTTGACTTTTACTAGTTCTTGCATGGAGTTTATTAACAGAAGTCATTGAAAGAAAAATTACTGTGATATTTTTAGGAAGAATCATGACTAGACATAATGGAGTCATAGCTGGATCCAAGAGATAATATAACAGAAAGCAGAGACCAGATACTCACGCCTACATTTTCCATAATTTGAAGTAAAATATGTTTCACTGAACCATGGTAGAATCATTCTTTAATTTGTAAGCAAGCAGAAAATTAGAGCTCATGTTGTTCATAGTGTATCTTCTGATTTTAAACTGGTCAAACAAATTAGAAGCTTAAATTTTTTTATGGAAATCAAAGTATTCTCTTTTTTTCTTGTTACTTTAACAAAAAAGTGATAATTTAGGTATTGTTTTTTGGTAGCATATTTTTTAAAATCTTGTTTTATGCTGACAGAGATCTTTGTGAATAACTGAGAGAAATGCGTCTAAGACTGTAGTAGTCTGTGGCAGTGAAGACAGCTGTGGGGGCTAGCAAAGGAGCGTTTATGATATTCGTACCTGTCCACTGGAAGAACAGTTTGAGAATGATGGGCTTCTTGCAAAAGCAACATTCATAAATACTGGGCTGGATGAGAATACAATAAAAAGTATCTGATCTCTTTGATAGAAGTACCTTGCTGGATTTCTGTTTAATTCATGGGTGCAGCTGAATGCAAGCCTCTCAGAGACCTTTCTGTTACTTTGCTGTTCTCAAGAAGCTTCCACTCATCAGTTTATTCTGAGGCTGTGCCAGCAGATGAGTCTTGTCGGATGTTCAGCCAAGAAAATAAATCTAATAAGAATCCAAAATTATTTTAAAAGAATGTTTGTGTCTCTACTTCCTGTGGGTCTCAGAAATGTCATCTCCAGGTTATTCTCTAACTTGCTTATTGCTGTTGCATGGTTAGTCCAAGCACTGAATCTGCAGAGCCAGTCAGGCTCTCGCATCTCTCCTTAGATTTTTGGCCAGTTAAAAAGCTTTCCATTAAGCACCTTAAGAGCTATTGATGATGTAGATTTATTTTGGAGCTGAGTGGATTGGTTTGACTGGATGAATCCATTTCAGCTGGAGTATTCAGTACCACCAGAGAGCCTTTCACATCATATGCAGATTTTCTGCAACACACTTATCTATGTGTGTCACTGTGGGGTTCTAATATTTTATACCTCTGGCAGCTATATCATATGGAAAATGATAATGTCTTGGAGAGGCATGTGGAAGTATGATGGCAGAAGCGGCAGGTTTCAATGTATTTTAAAGTCATAATGTCTTGGAAACATTGCATGTCGTGGTAGTCTGGCTGATGCCAAGTCACATCATGGAAGATGCTACAGCTCCTAGCTGGAGAGGTAACCAGGTAGCTTTTAGGTTCAGACTCTGCTCCGTGAGGAGTAACTCCACCGTGTTGCAGCATAGGTTGTGGGAGAAGGACTGCTCTGAAACCACCTTCTTTTGGGACAAAATGGCTGCACTAGGTCAAATGAAGTTACATAAGTTTTGTTTTCTGTATTGTTTCTTTAATGTCTTAAAGCCTGGTTTTGAACTCAGCCCTTGACATCTCCCAGTCACCAACTTTCTCTGTTGGAAAGGTGAGTTTTACACTGTTAGCATCACCAGTGCACAAAAAATGTCACCATTTGGAAGTCATTTTCCTCACCTAGTTATGGGACTGAAACACGAGGGGAAAGCTTGGGGAATACCCATCAATTGATTCATTTTTTTTTTAATTTAATTAAATGCTAGTTTTATACTCCAAGGTAATACAAAATTAATTAGTAAAACAGTCTGATCTGTGTGGAGGAGACTGTGTGCATGTGTATCAAATATTATTTTCTTATGTGTCTGCACTTTTTGTTCCAGCCCTATTAAAGATATTCATGATGTTCTGGAAGTGACAGTGTTTGATGAAGATGGAGATAAACCCCCTGATTTTCTTGGAAAAGTTGCCATCCCTTTGCTGTCTGTAAGTTACTTTTGCCTTGTGTATCATTCAAACATTGATGGTTTTGCTGGGAATGAGTTGCATTTCTTTTCTCCATAGCACAAAGCAACACAGATTTAGAGATAAACAGGTTCTGTGATCTATATACGCCTTAGTTGGCAGTGTTTATAGTTCTCCTCAGTGTAACAAACGTTGCCAACCTATTTTAGTACAAATTTGGTTGATTGGAAAGAAAATTGCGGAAGTGTCTGTACTTCATCAGTACTATATGCCACGTAGGTCTGAAAACATAATTGAGTTGTTCTGTATGTTTCCACATCATCTTCTGAAGGTAACATTTTAAGCATGTCTTTGTTCTGTCTTGCTTCTTTTTACTCCAAGAAAGTAATTGCACATCACAGTAGAATTGACTAGAGATAGCTGTTGTTATTGGCACAGCTGAATAAAATTACCTAAAAGGGGTGTTTTCTATTCCATAGTGCTTTTAAAGACTGGTGGCTTTTGTTCTGTAAACAAATATGTGAAGAGTGAGCACTACCATGGGAGTATAAAATCAAAACTAGAAACAAAGCGATCTCAGGGGAAAGTCATTGCTTTGGAGATTGAGAGTTGAAACTTTTACAGAAATAGCCAAAAAAGGCCAAGCTAAAGAGACGGGAACATAAAAGGATTATCAAAAGACATTAATAGAGAAATGGCGGAAAACCAGCTTTATGTTTAGTAAGACTGATTTAATTTTGGAATAAGGATGTTAGTAACAGAGTGAGTAAACCAGATCACAAGGAGGTGAACAACTCCATGTGTATGTGCAGAACCACAGAAGATCCTTGTAACTTTTCCAGTAGTGTTTGGGAGGAACTTTCTAGGCTGAGACTTTTATTAAATCAGTTAGTAGATGAAGCTTGAAACATCATGGGACTCCTGTGCTCATATCAGTCAAGCTGTGTAAACACGTTTAACTGTGAGCGTGGCGGTTTCCTTGAGTTTTGAGGCACTGATGCAGTAGGTTTTGCAGTAGGTTCCGTATGCAGAGGAGAGGGTGTGACAGGTATTTATGCAGTGAGTACTGCCTTGAGCCCTGTACAAACATTCATGCTTGCAATATATAATATGATTCAAGTGATACAAGCAGTAGTGAGATGCTTTCAGTAATGCACAGTGTGATGCTCTGGGTAATAGCACTCTCGAGTAGGCAGACGGTGAATCCTGATTGAAATTATAGAGTACAAAATTGCAGTATTGTTTTGAAACATCCCTGTGAAAGCACATTCACCTCTGCAGAAAGGCTGGCATACATCTTTCGTGGTTAAGGCAGGAGTTTGAGTTGTAGAGGTGGGCTGCTCCAGGAAAGGCAGTGTTGCAATACTGGGTTAGTGGGGCTGTATCCTAACAGAGATGGGAGAAACAGGATGCTTCTAGAGGGAAAGCAGAGCTCGCATCTGATCAAAGCAGGCCATATAAGCCCCACAGAGTCACCATAATTTAGTTAAGGGATCAGCCAAGATCAGAGAGGGGAACTGCAAATATTGGATGTGTCCAGATAAATAATGAACTGCCCAGGAAAATTCTTGAACTTGAAGGTATGATTCCAACCTAAGGAATGCTTTATAGTGGTAAAGAAATAGGCCAATGTGCTCCAGTTTTGTTATTGTTTTGTTATTATTTTATCTAAATAAATACATTTCTTGTGTATGCGAATTAAAAGCAATGCAGCTTCTCAATCTCTTTCACAAAAGTGTTTGTTTTCATTCACCATGTATTCTTTCCAAGTTATATGGAGTCCAGAACAGGGGAACCCCTGCAATTTGAGGGTATAAAGAGCCTAAGCTTATAGAGGCTGAGGAGTAAATACTGAGCTCTTGGTGCCTACACACTGTTGTGTGCTTTGCAATCCTGTTCTATCTGTGGCTCAGACCGCAAGTTCTTGTTGAGGCTGGGGTTATTTTAGATTCTTTGTCTATATTAGTAGCTTGAGTTGTCAATATCTCCAGTTTTAGAGCAATATTAGAGTCAGTTGGGCATGGAGGATGATTCGATGTTTACAGGGAGGAAAAAACCTCTTAACATCTTTTATTCCATTTTTTGATCACTTGGTTAATTTTTCCCCAAGTCCTCATATCTCTGATGTTACTGGAAGAGAGTGGCTGGAGCAGCTGCTCTCCCGCAGATCCGGCGCTTGCCAAATGGTCTGCATGATCGGCAGCAGGCTGTGTGGGCTCACAGTGAGATGATGTTAGATTTGGATTTTCTGTTGATTTTATAGGCATTTGTCAAGTATCCCTTAGGAAGCATGTAACAAGGCAGAGGAGGGGAGTGCATGTGTGTGGTAATGTCCAAACTATTCAGGGTAGGATTTTTGTCCAAGGTTGGAGACAAAAAAATAAAATAGAAATTGTTTATGCTTTCCCTTGCCAATTGATCTTCTTCCTTCCTGCCCAAACTTCTCTGCCTCCTATTTCAGTCAAATCTAGTGTAAATATACTCATCTCTGCTTCTGATTAAATACCATTTTGCACCTATTAGCTTAGTCTGCTCAGAGAACTGCAATTTTCTATGCTCTTTTTCTTGAAATGGGAATTTTGGTGCATGTTGTCAATTTGACTATAAATTTGAATGTATCCTTTGAACCATTTAGATAAATAGACTGGAAGAGAACAATAGTTAAAGATTCGAGAAAGCCTCACAAATCATATAGGTTTAATTTCTCTAAGTAATCAGGCCTGATATTTGCCTCACATTAAATTCTCTTTTGAAAATAGAAGTGCATTTGCCATTCTTTTCCCCCATGTTAAAAATGCACAAGTTTGACTTGTGAGCTGTCAGCACATGAAGTAAGTTTACTTGGAATTGTTCATGGATGACTAGATTCTTTTCTTAATGAAAAATTGCCTTGAATAAAGTGTATGTTGGAAGGATTTGAAATGTTTAATTAATTTGACAACAAACTTGGTTTAAATGTGTTCAGGAGTCTTACACTGACATTTTGTAAACATGTGTACACCTTCATTGCGTTGACATTAACACACAAATAACCTTACTGCACAAAAATTCAGAGTTAGTGAAATTACTTATGCTTTCCATTCATCCTTGACTGTGAACTAGGCTTATTGCAGGCACCAAATAAGAAACATAAACAATTGGGCAGCATTAAGGAAACTTCTAAGGTGTCAAAGGACGAATAAAGCCGCAAACTTCATGTTCTTCTGATAGACATGATGAAGCAATATTGGATGAAGACACATTTTGCTTTGTTTCTCATACCACTTTATTAATAATACACTGTAGAGAGATTGATTTTGGTACCAGTACACCGAATTTGGGGGACAGAGGGAGAGAAGTTACTTGCTTGCATTTTACCTTTAGCTTTTCCATGGTAACCAGGCTATTGTACTTCTGTCTCCTCCTGGCTTTTTTTCTTTTGTTGAAGTACTGTCCTTCTCTAAAGCATATATAAGAGAACTCAGCTCAAATACAGCTCTGGTCAGCCACATTCACAGAAGCAGAATTTAAACTGGAAAAGACACAGATTAATGCTACCAGGATATTCAGCGAAATGGATCCCTCTCTTGCCAGAGGTGACCTATAGAGTCTGGCTTGCCTAACCTTTGAGCTGAGAAGGAGAGCCTGGGCGATGAAAAAGAAGACCATTTCCACCACTGGACAGAGTAGGCTTTTGTGCTAGAAGCTGAAGATCCTGGGGAAAGGAGAAGTAGGACAATGACTTCTTTGCTCCAAGAAAGAAGTTTGACAAAAGTTTTGTAGGTTTGGAGGGACTTGAACTAATAATCAAAGAAGTCCTTTCTATCTCTGTGTCCTAGAGCACAGAGCAACTGTGTTTTCTCTTTGTGAGGGTCTGTCTTTTTTGTTTTGCTTCAAGAGACTCTTATCACCTAGAAAGCTGCAAGTTATTAGAGACATGGGAGCATATAGTTTGCTTCAATGAATTTGAAAGTAGAGTATATCAAATATCATCATAGAGAAAGACCTTTGAGTGAAGAGTTATATCGCAGAATGGAATGTTTTTTGTCTGCTGGATTATCAGCTCAGAGTAGTCTTCAGCTGCACCCTTTTTTTCAGCAAACAGGAACAGGTCTATGAAATATTTCCAAGTGCCAAGCAAGGTTGGTAGACAACAATCCACTGAAAACTAGTAGTACGCCTTTCGCAAGCCTAATTATCTAAAACATGGCCTGGATTCAGACAGCAGACACCTGACAATTGCAGTTACTTAGCACTTGACCACAAGTGCACAGCCTTTTCCGGGAAAAAGCTTTAGAGTTTGGGAAAACTGAAAATGTTGTTTTTATGTGATAGGGGCAGCTATTAAGTGTATAGTTTGTTCTGACTTTCATCCCTACTATGAAGCAAAAATTTTGGAATGGGGGACCTCCTCCCCCCCATCTCTTCCAGAAAAAAATGGCACTTTGTTTCTGAAGTTAAATTCTCTCCCAACCATACACTACTCACCAAAATAGTGTCAAAAAGAATGTTTTTCTTGAGTACCCTTCTAGGACCCTTGTACTCCCAAGGTTTTCAGCTCCTCCTTAGACTGCCTGAAAGCACCCCTGTGGCTGCCCTGCTTTCTTTTAGTCCAACAGCTCCGTTTCTATTTGCTCTTTGGATATCAATCCACTACCAAGAGCCTCAATCTCCAAATTCTAATTTGGATCCCACAGAAGACTGTTAAAAGTAAAAATGTTTGGGACAATAGTTTTGGGATGAATGAACTGGCATTTTGTACAAAACAGAATCAGTGTGTATTGTGAGACTAGGGAGAAACAAAACCCTCTTTATTCGTGTCCAGGTGGATCAAATATGTGGCTGGCTTTCCTCTTTTCCTGGGGAAGTACGTCCTTTGATAAGGGTAGGTGTGTTTCTATTGCAAGACAGCTTTATGTTGTTCAGGGCAAATGGTATGACATTGTGCATCAGCAATGAGCTCAGGCAGCAATATCAGAGGTCTCAAATGCTTCAGATGAATTACCCTTGGAGAGTAGCCATTACCCTTTCCACACGTCATGGGTGTTGATGTACAGAGGTTGAACCCCATGTTCTTCTGTCAGGTCATTAATATATGACATTGAATCTGCATCAAAGCTGGATAGAGAGTGAAGTTTTCTTAAAATCAATGTAAAAAAAAAGCCACTAAACCATATTTCTTTGAGACAAGAGCAATGAAAAAACACGCTTTGCTGCGTAAGGGTCCTGTCTTCTCCGTGTTTTGTGTCATATCAATCTCTGCTTTTGTTATTTCATTAAAATTCCCAAACGGTCAGAAGGTTGTTGCTTAATAGATTTAGCATTGGCTGGCTACATCAATACTGTGTTTAGTCACATTTGTTTTACTGGGGACATCGGTGGGAAGAGTTTAGCAAATATATTCATTTATTTGAAGGGAACCCAGTGCACTTTGGGCCTTGACTGTACGGTGGCCTCGTGGTACCTGAACATTTCCTTCAGTTAGAGGCAACTTCTGGAAGTGCTTTTTTCTGAAGTGCCTCTGTAGACTTAAATACTTAATCCACAAAGAATTTTAGCACTTATTCTAACTGATAATTTCCTTTGTGTGGTCCTGTATGGAGAAGGGACTGTGATATAGACTATACAATTTGTTCTGTGAAAATACCGATACTGATATTTTGTCTTTCTGGGTTGATTCACAACAGGGAAATGCCCCAGATGTCAGAAATTCCCATGGGATGAAAATCCTAACCTTTTTTCTGATGGTGACCTTGTAAAATGAAGCACGTCAGTGGGGTAGTCACTACTGTCTTCATGTTAATCACATGCTTATGAGCAGTCTGGGTTGGTGATTGAGCCTCGCTATGTTCTGTGCTATTAAGAAGCTTTCAGAGAGTGCAGGCATTAGTATTCAGTGAGGCTATAAAACTTCATCAATAAAGGAATAATATTGATTGTCTCTTTAAGGACCTTACCTGCAGATATTTTCTCATTTAATTTGGATATTCCTTTCCTTCCCTTTTCCCCCTAAGTAGAAGTAAATGATCATAAGAAAGATAGATAGCCTGTTTTGGGCACAATTCTCAGGAATATTTGTTGAGCAAAATTCATGTGAGTTCATCAGGTACAGAAGAAATCTGATCTATCTGACATGGAGGTTCATCCTAGGACCCCAGCCCTGGCTGCTCAGCTTTTCCACAGCCAGAGAGGGCATTTAAGCACTCTTTGCAAACAACAGAGACTAGGGAAAAGTACCCAGAGAGGAGAAAGAATTAGATCCAAAATGAAATTAATATGACTGGCTGTCTCTCAAGATTGAGGGAGATGTTGAACAGAATCTGAACTCTGGCCCAAGAACAGCACGCAGTGAAAACACAGAGTATTAAAAGCTCTTTTGCGTGTTTTCTTCTGGGCACAGTTGAGACATGCCACCAGTCTAATCTCCATGCAGTCACGGGTGTTAGAATTACCCTATACCTTTTGTTGAACCGCACTGGCCTAGCACGTTGCCAAAACTGTAAGAGAGACTTTTGTTTGACATTTTTTTCAGTTGTTTTTTTATCCAAATGAAAATGCACTGGAGACATTCCATTTCATAGCCCGTTGTTCTCTCTTCTGTTTTTTTCCCTCTGAAGAAGGTCAAAAGCTAGGATATCTGTATGAATGTTTAGTCTTACACCAAGTTATAATTGCACATCTTTTACCAGTCAAGTCAAACACATGGAATTAAAGAAGCCAAATGAAGCTGACTGTAAAACTGTATTTGCACTACATTACTTTCTGCCCTGTTCAGTTTTAGAATAGCAGCAACAACAATAACAACACCATTTAAAAGAGTTTCCGAAGCAACAAACAACCCCTATTTCCAAATCCAGAGAGAGATGGCAGTTATTTGTTGCTGATGTGAAACTGCGTGTGATCACACCTGCAAACACACCCAAAATGTTTGATTCAGCTCCAGCTCTTAAAAAGAAGACTTTTCCCCAAAGTCAGAAGCATGTTTTGAGTTCGGAATGCCACGATATCAGACCAGGATGTTCTCAGTTAGTGACAGCAGTTCTCAGTTAGTGACAGCAGTTATTTTCCTTTTTCTACCAATTTAGCAGAATATGACATTTTTTTTCCTTGTTGGTTATGCCCTTGGAAGGTGTAAAAAAGCAGCATATTCCATACCAAGGAGTATAAAGAGAATTTCCCACTAGTTGTTGCTCCTAGGTTAATAGCATGAAATGTTATGAGAAATATGTGTAACAAATACATGGAAATTCAGTCCCAAAATTAACAGTTGTGGAGAATCCAGAGTTGTGATATTGTGATATATATCAGACATCTAGATCTCTGCAGACATACTGGGAACAATGTATGTTCTATCCTCTTGTGGGAGAGTTCATGAATGAAAGCTCAGTCTAAAACTGCTACTGATGGCATCCCCTTGAACCAAGAGGTAACAATCCCAAACCAAGTCCTTCAGGCCCTGTATCTCTGCCATCACTAAATCCATTGTTCAGTTAATTTGGGAAATTGAAGATCTTTAATTTCCAAATAAGATTTGTTTTGTTTTCATTCAGTAGCTTTTACAAGTATTTTTACCATTGCTTAAGGGGGAAAAGAAGCTGGTGAAATAGCAGGATTCTTCATAGTGGGCTGACAATAATGTATATGGCAGTTGTCCTGAGGACCTTCTGATGTTGGGTTGTTTGGCCTTAGAAGAGGGATCACTTCAGCAGCTCTTCTGGCTTGGGACTGCAGGTTATCTGAGCCTGCTGGTCTGCATAATAGTTTTTTGCCTGCCCCTTTCGTGGGGCCTGCAGCATCCTTTGCTGCCAGCTCCAACCCTGTGTGTACTCTCTTGCAGAAAAAGCAGAGGTTTTTTGTGATCAGTTTAGTGCAGTGCCTATTATTGTTGTTACTTATTGTTATTAAATAAATTCCATATATGCCTGCATAAGTGCCAGCATCCTGGTAAGTACAAGTTTGGATAAGAACATAGTTAAAAGATGGAATTCCTTGTTGGATGCCACTGAGGGTGTGAAGTTGGTCCTTACAAGATCCCTCTTCCAATTATTAGCCAGAAAACCCATCTACCCTTTGAGCTATTTGGTACAGAAAGGGTGGAGCATCATTGGGAAGGAAAGTGACCTTTCCCTTGTCTCATGAAATCACTTGGTTCCCATTATGCTGTTTTTTTCCCCTACTCATTTCTACCATGGTTTATACGAGTGCCTCTTCTAAATGCCAGAGCAGCAATAGCCGTTTTAAATATGGTTGCAATTTCATGCCCCCAAATTTCCTCCGTTATCTTTAATCTTTGATCATTATAGTCCCTGAATGTAGCTTTTTGGTAAGCTGCAGTTTTTATGTTACTGCTGTTTGGAATTAACTGGTCTGCTTCCTAAAAAACCAAATGTTTAATCAATACATATCCTACTGTGTATAATAAATACATTTCTGCCATCACTTTTTGAAGAGAGAATGCTTTTCATTTGAGCCAAATAGTTTACAAAATGGTGAGGGAGGTTTTTTTTTGTTGGTTATTTATTTTTTTAAAAAAGATGTATAGTGAGATGGATTAGAGCATAGAAATAGTATTGAAATTCAGGGGTGGGGTGGGAGAGAAGTCGTCTGCACAAATTAGTTAATTTTGAGCATTTGTTAATTAGCATTCGCTCCACTTAAGCTGATTAATTTCTTTGGATTGCGTTTGTTTCCTGGGTATTAATTTGACAACCTTGCAATAAACTAAGCATTAAGAGGAGTGCTCGTGTACTGGAGTGTGCAATAGGCAGGTAAGTTGTTGTTTGTGGCTCTTTTCCTGAACTTGAGAAGGAAAAAATCCCATTTTAAACCTGTAATAACGGAGGCTGATTACTTCCCATCAACTCACTGGCTTCCAGGGCAGAATTTTCCGACTGGTTATTGCATGCACTGCTCTACTATAAAGTACAAGGTCTGTAAATTAAAGTTGGACCATAAGAGATTTAATCTGCAATTTTATAGGTCTCTAATCCAACGGTTGTTTTGTATTTCAGGCTCCGAGTATATTATCAGGGTTTGGGGACAGTTTTTTTGGTGTACTTGGGAGTTTATTTATTTATTTGCTTGTAGTGTCTTTAAATTATATTGTGAATTACAGCTGGGAAAATATTGATACTTTTTCTCCACTACCCACTCCCCTTTCCCCAACTATAGATTAGAAATGGTAAACAAAGTTGTTACACGCTGAAGAATAAAGACTTGGAACGTGCTTCAAAAGGAGTAATTTACTTGGAGCTGGATGTCCTATTTAATCCTGTAAGTTGAAATATTTTCCCTTTGCTTATGGCTGGCGTAAGAAACGTGTCAATCAGCAAGGATGAGGGTGGGGGGATAATGCTTTAAGCACTGGGAGCCAAGCAGGGAAAGTCATGAGCTGGTTGTATCTGGTGGTGGGGAGGGATGTTTCAGGTTGTGGGTGAAGAACTATAGGGACATCAGAGCTCTGGGATGGCTCCTCCAGGTCGATGGGACATCAAGGGGTACTTTTGGACTGAGAAGTGATCACGAGCGCCTTAGGAAGGAGGCGCTGATTACCATACACCACAGCTTCATTTGCAACAACCGAAAAAGGTCTTAATCTTTAGCACATTACACATTACTTTTAACACCTACTTCCTCCCCAAAAAAGTTGACCCATGATGCTCTCTTCCCAGGGTGTTGACAGGAAAATTAATGAGGCATGGACACGTTGTGCTTAGTTTTTAGGTGGCTGAGTCGCTCTCAATTGTTTATGCCCTACAGCCTTTTACTGAGTTAAATCCTATTTATTAAGGCTGTCGTGGGCTGCACCACAGCTCTGCTCATGCTGAAGTGACTCCAGCTTTGCCCAATTTAACTCATCCATATTTTTCCTAGCAGCTCCTCCGAAGTTGCATGGAGGCTGAAAAGAGTGAAAGATTCTGAAATTCCTAAGCCGACACAGGTGATACAAAGCTGAAATAATGCACTTAAAATGACATGAAATATATTTTTTAATAGTAATTATTATTTTCATCATTTATTTTTTAGATAAAAGCAAGTATTAGAACATTCAAGCCCCGAGAAAAGCGCTTTACTGAGGAGAACCGCAAATTCTCTAAAAAGGTGACAATTGTGTCTGGGCTAAGCTCTTACATCGGTTTTGGAAACGTTTGAATTGCTGTAGCAAGGTTGAAAGAACAAAACCTATTTATGCATAAAATGCCAAACACGTGTAAATTCTGTGTATTTCTGTCTGTATTAAAAGGTTGGTTTGTGTTAACACGAAATTGCTTTCTGATCTAGTTTGCATCAGTCGTTCTGCCTGGTGCTTCAGAGTGGGGAAAATGATAGATGTGGATGTTGCACAGTTTGCAGCACCTAAAGTTCAATGAGAGCCTTATTCCCTCCTTTGGAAAGGAAGAAACCAGGTTTAAATTAGTTATTTTAAAAGTCCATATGATTATAGAACAATAGCCATTATCCTTTTGTTAAATAAAGGTGCCTTATGAACAGGCTAGAATTCCCTGTTTTTTCTACGGACTAATCCAAAACATGGAGAGAAGAGGTCTGGTGTTTTGATTACATGCTCTCAGGCCCTTTTCCTGAGCCATTGCTGTATTTTGAGAATGGAAGGGGAAGGAAGGTAGGTTTGTGTTAGTGTTTTATTTAGTTTTGGCATGAAGATGTGCTTTTTCTCTTTCTCTTTTTTTTTTCCTAAGGGATGAGGAAAACCTGGAAGGTTCGGGTGTAATCAAAAAGCAGACAGGAGCTGGAGTGTGTCTCTGAAATAGAGGCTTTATTTGTAATATGCGCTCTGGCATGCATTTGTAGCTTAAATTATCCCTGTTTCTGAAGCAATAGTAGGATATTAGAGTGTTTGATTAAACTCTTCTCCTCCTCCCCTACTCCCACTCAATATTTATCAGATCTTATCAAGAAATGTTGATCGCGTGAAAAAAATCACCATGGCAATATGGAATACAATACAATTCCTTTGGAGCTGCTTTCTCTGGGAGTCCACAGTAAAGAGCGTGATAGCATTTGTGGTAAGTGGATTTCTTCTTTTATTGCATGAGGCTGAGTGGTGTAAGATCTCGAGTGTTGCCATGCCTTCCTCTCCACCAGTGTAAAGCCCTTTATCGTTTGCTGTTATTGGTATTTTGTAGCTATGTGGCTTACAGGGCTGAGGGTTTCATGGCAACTTGGGCCACACTGGGCCTGATGGACATGGAAATTAGATCGTCAGGAACAGCCTTTCTTTGCTTGGTGCAGGGGTGTTCACCAACCTACACCAAGAATGCCCATGTCCATGGTGGGTGATGCCAGCCTCTAAAGGTTGTGGCCATGTGGTGGCTCTGGAATAGGTTTATTTTTAAACACAGCATCTGGGTGGTAGGAAAGGAGGGAGGTGATGGCCAAGAGGGTGATGCAGGGAGATGCCTTTGATTTGGATGATGCAGTGAGCTGATGGGTCTTGTCCCTTCCATCTTCCACTGCAGTGAGGAAAGGTTGTCAATGCCTGCTATGCCTGTGTCCCTGTGGCAAATCTGTTCTTTTGATGGTAATAATACATTGCTTAAAAAACCACAAAAGGAAAAAGCTGGTCAGCAAGTTCTGCTGTGCTCTGCAAACAGAAAGCCAAGTTCTCCACCTGCCTGTCCCACTTTTCAGTTCTCTCCTTTTTCCTCTCGGTAGTAAACACCCCATTCGCAGTTTTCTCATAATCCACTCAAGCACAAAAAGGTTTTGCCTGCTTTTTATTCTGCAGTGTGACATTTTCTTCATGCTTGAAATGTTTGGCATGCCATTAAAGGTTGCGAAATCGTTTTGTGGCAGTCCAGCATGCAGAAAGAAAGTTTTTTGAGTTGAGTGTTTATTAAGCGATGTAACAGTCACATCTCCAAGATTTTCTCCACCTTTTACTGTCTGTGAATTATAAATTGCTTAAAGGTTCTTTTGAGGAAAATACTTCAGTGTATTTGCTGCAGATGAGTGAAGCAGACCATCCCTGATTTAAAGATGGTCCAGAGTAAAGGCAGAGGAGCTGTCTTTCACCCTGCAGGTTAGAGGGATGGCTGGCACATGAGGGTGGGTAGGATGAGAGGGTCTTTTTATTGCATTTTTTTTTTCTTCCTGTTGCTCAAAACTGATTTAAATTATATCTAAAGTTAATGTTCAAGAGCTGATGGAGAGCAGAGTAGCAGGTACCTTGCTGAAGCAGGTATGGCTGCGCAAGGAGCTCTATGGTTGTGAGCAAGGGAATAGGATGGTCATCCACACGCGGGCTGGAAAGGATGTATGTAAAATCCCAGTGTCAATGTCCTACCATCACTGTACAGCAAGAATTTAAGCACATGTTTAAGAGATTTCCTTTTAAGAGATTTTGTACCTAAATACTTGTGAAGTTACAGCTGTGAAGTTCAGTTTTCCAGACAGGAAAAGTTTGAAAGTGGTGGAGAGGCAATAAAATAAGAAGGTGGGAAAGTGGGTCTACAGAAAAAGGAATCGATTTCTGGTGGAAAGGAGGATGAGCAGGTTACACATTCCAGATTATTAACATCTTTACTGGATACCATAACAATCCTGGTTTCCTGAAAGAAAGTGGATAATGGGAAAGAAATAAAAATACATGACTCTAAGAATAATTGCTGCAGGTTTCTTTTACAAACCAAAATGTCTGTCTGATTTTTTCCACATGGAAATAATTCAGCTCTGGCACCTAAAATGAAGTGCTAATTATGTATCTCTCTCTCACTATTTCCAGCATGTGTGTTTGTAGTACTGAAAATACGCACTCAGCGTGGTAGGTGCAGCATCTCTCCCTGCCCCAGTCTGTATGTAAAACCCACACTTAGCAGGTTAAATAGAAGGTGTACCAAATATTGCATTTTTAAAATCATCATTCCCCAGCAAGTAACATCTATATACCTTCAGTGCCTGGCTTTGTATCATTTTAGCCTGTACCAGATTTGTCCTTATTGATGATCCACTTGTGGCTGATGCTGAACACTAGAGGTAAGGATGATGCACAAAGCTTATCACCAGTTTTTCAGCTGGATTCGTGAAACCATGGCTGGTAGATTAAGTGCTAGTCCTAAAAACCATTAAATGCCCTTTTGTTTTCTTCTTACATTGTCCCTTGGGCCATAACGGAATAACCCATAACAGCAACAACCATCGTGACCATATTGTACGTATTCCACATATCTTCACTATGATAATCCCAGAGTTTGGGTGGTCCTTAGGACCTCCCTCCCCTGTTGTATTGCCCTTGGTTTCCCTATAGAGTTAGCCCATGGCCATTCCTACAAGGGGGAATAAAGGGAGGGAGGAGGAGGAAGACAAGCAGACAGTACAATCATGTGAAGCTTGTTTTCTTAAGCAATCAGACAAAACTAGCTGCTGGTCAGAAGAAAATGTTTGTGAGCTCATCAGAGCATGACAATAGGCAAGGACACAGTATCTTACACCTTTCTGTTTTAGTCTTCATTACAGTGCACCTCCCTCCCCATTAGTGCTGACAGCTTGTGTGTGTGACAAGGACATTAGCTGCTACTTCTGGGTGCCAAGAGAAAAAGAGGGACAGATAAAGAGGGAGGAAACAGAGGACAGCACAAGCAGGACACAAGTGAATGAGAAAAACACTATCAATCACCATGTTTTCTCATTTATAAGCTACATCATCCCAAACTTAATTTCTGTATTAGTTTCCAAGAACGTGTGAGTAGAAACAGGATTTTTTGTACTTTAAAAATGGAATCATATTTTTCATTAGCATTCTGCAATTTTAATCTGATGATTTTTAAATCCGAGTTAATTGTATATGCACAGAAGATGCTGATTGGGCCTCTCAGGCACAAATAAAATCAGGAATTTTTCAGGTTTAGAGGTTTTAGAAAGAGGGTTCAAAGGGAGGTGAGGTGAAAAGCAAAGTTTCGCTTTTGGTGATGTTTGCACTGTGCACTACAGGGCTTGAGGCAAATTGGTACACAAATTCTAGGTAAAACATCCTGGGGTGGAAGAAAGAGTCATATGCAGGGTTTTGGGATTCTCTCTAGTCTACATTTCATCATTGGTCTGGTGTGGAAAATTGGCACATGTTTTTGTGCATGCATGGGAATATGAAGAATAATCTGACATGTGGAAAGTGTTGCCTCTGGAGTTAACAGTGTTCATATCCCAGGAAAGATCGTAAAAGACTTTGTTCATGTGTTCTCCTCCATCAGTTCAGGATTTGGTGGGATTTGTAGATTTTTACAACCAGAAAGGTCTTCAAGTATCCTACTTTGTTTTATTTTGAGACAATTATCTCTGTATTCAACCTGATATGTTGTGTTTTGACTGCAAAATGACTCTCAAAGATCTTTATTTAGAAGACACCCAGAGACATGGTCTAATACATCCCTGTATGTTTCTGCTTGTGTGCCTTATACTCTTCGTATCCTACCCTGGACGATTTGGTTCCAGTTTCCAGGGTGAATGTTGTGTTTTTTAGACTCATCCTCATCACTCCTTCCTCTTGTCACACCTTTCTCCATTGAAACATCACTTCCACACTGTGTTACTAGTGTCCAGAAAGCTGGAGCTGTGTGCTGAAATGTGCCTAGAGGAATGTCTGCTCCAAGTCATCTTGTACATCTGTGTGATCATATGCTGTTTGTTTTTTCCACTTGTGCGTATGAAAACTCAGGTTCTTACCTTTCTCATGCATTTTTAAACAAATTTCTGATCCTTCCTTCCACATGCAAGCACTCCCTTCCTGCTCTGCTTTCCCTCCTTTGCTGGTCATGGAAGTTAAGTCCATAATAACCAAAACATTCTTGCTGCACAATATGTATTTAAAAAATATTACAAAAGTTAATTTTAGTCACAGAATGATTTTCCTGAGGAATTATGCATCATTGCACATTGTGCTTGTGATTTTATACAACATAATTACACCTTCTATTGACAGTTTTCTCTGCATTAATGGTAATTATGCCATTTAATGAAATTACAGTAATTGCATTAAAAATATAATCTGGTGCAAATTAAAAGGATATATTGACTGCAATTTTTACTATTATATATATATTTTTTTTAAGTTTGCATTATAGTTGCAAGAGACATTGACAGGAACAGGGGAACGATGGGAAACCAGCCATCTCAGCACCTCCGGTGTGAGTGGCAGTGCTCACTGCAGATGTGCTTCAGGGTCCCTGCATGCTCACCCATGCCAGCATACTTCATTTTTACTGGCAGCATTTCCCCCTCTATCAGATTTAGGTTTCTTGCTAATCAAGGCTGCTGCCAGGGTTGGGTACAGGTGAGAGCTGTTTTTCAGGCTCATTCCTAGCTGGCAGCTTGGGCAAACCAGCCAAGAAATGCAGCATGCACAGGCAGTACTTCCTTACTTTGCAGTGCTGTTGCAGTGTGTCTGATAATTGGTTTATGATGGGTTAGAACTGGGAGGAAAGGAAGGAATATGTGGTGATGCAACATCATGTGTTGGAAATGTGTAGCTTCTGGTCAAACCAACTGCAGTTGTTTAATGGTGGGCTGCTGGGATAAGTTAAAGGCATAGGATCACTTTGGAGCAGTTTGGGTTTCCCAAAAAGCCACCTAAAGCAAGAGTAGGGAAGCCCTGGGGGTTGTGTGGGTGCTCAGAAGAGATGCTGGGAGTTCTGGATGCAGCAGGAAACCCAAACTTAAGCTTTTGAGCTCCTTGCTGCAAAAGTGAGATTTTGGCACCTTCTCCATTAAGATCTCCAAAACTTTCTAAATCCAGAAAGATGTAGAAGATACTCCATTTTTGGGTTCAGGGCTGCGGGAACTGGAAGCCTGACGAGTCACAGGGCAAGCTGCGTGAGGCTGCTCGTGTATGCATTACTGTGCCAGTTTGCTTCAGTCCTAATCTGGGATATCAGCAGAGAGATGGGTTAGAATCTGTAACCCATGAACTTCTGGGTATCTCTTAGTGTGCCATGTAACACGCTGCCACTTAAGCTTGCAGTGTGGGAGCTGGGTCCTGTTCAACTCAACTTGTAGAGAAGACACCAACCATCTT